TAGTTTAAAGAGGATGCTTGTGTAGCTGAATAGAACAAAATATTAAAGAAATGTTAAAAAGAATTGGTTCCCAGCATTTGTATTTATTTAATACATTGCGGTGTTTAAAAAGTGACCAAGATGAATCTTTAAAGTGCAGAATACCACAAAGCATAAGATGTGTGGACTTAAACTTAAAAAAAATCCTTTTAACAAGAAACATTTATAATAAAATAGCCTAATATATTTTTTTAAACAACAAAAGATTGTAGAAAACACATTCAACTGCTCTAAAAGTATAGCTTTATTTTTAAGAGCCTCAGTCTTTTGGGAACTTAAGTGTCTTTGCGTGCAGCAGACCGGTCTTTATGGTCATCCCTTTAGCTATGGGCCAATCACTGAAATCCACTTTCACGTCACAGTCTACACTTCCGTAGGACTAGTGATGTTTTATAGTATAGTCCACCTTGCAGCTCTGCACAAGTTTTTTTAGTATCCAGGGGTGACAAAACTTACCGGTAATGTAAAAGCCAACATTGAAGAGTTCGCTGCTGCACGTTTATTACTTTTATGTTAATCCGTACTCGCACGCCGTTCAATTGCAGCTTTTCCTCGACCTTTGGTCATAAATTCACGCTCTTTTGTGCATTCTAGGTTAAACGAAGCCCTGGTTTTGACAGGACGCTAACTTTAATACTTAGCATCAGTGATTCTGATCCTTGTTTACTTTTGTAACCAATGACAAGCAGATCTTTATCTGACATGCCGCCAATCATCTGTTAGATCAGATAGTGATGCTTTTTTGATGATTGGATATTGTGCTGCAGCCCAGCAAAAATAAATAAATAAATAAAAAGCTGCTCTACAAGCCTAGTGCCTCATAAAGGAGGACAAAAACACGTCCGGCTGGATGCGGCGCCGGACGCCGGACAGTGCAATGAAAATCCGGACTGTCCGCCCTAAAGCCGGACATCTGGCCACCCTACACATGAGGTTGATCCCAGATTTATTGATTTAGCAAATAGTGGATCGACTGAAAGCCAAGCCTGAAATACACATTTCCCCACACACTTAACTAAAAAAATATAATTTAGGAAATTAACAATGAAAGCCAATATAGTAACATACAGATCTTACAGTTTCTTATTCAGTCCCCTTATACCAAAGGGGTTTAAAGTCTTAATGCAGGTTACTGGGGATTGAACCCTGAGTAATTTTAACATAAAAGCTTACTTTAGCTTACTTTAGTATTGCTTTCTGGCTGGGGAGTGGCCTAGTGGTTAGGGCATAGACCTTTGAATCAAGAGGGTCTGAGTTTAAGCCTGACTCCCACTCTGGCTCTCTAAGCAAGACCATTACCCCAAACTGGTCCCCGGGCGCCCCTCGATGGAAGCCCACTGCTCTGCATGGAGATGGGTTAAATGCAGAGGTAAATTTCTCCAATGCAAGATCGTCCATCCATTTTCCGTCACCCTTCTCCCAAGCAGGGTCACAAGGGATGCTAGTGCCTATCTCCAGCTGTCTACTGGCAAGAGGCAGGGTCCACCCTGGACAGGTCGCCAGTCCATCGCAGGGCAACACAGAGACACACAGGACAAACAACCATTCACACACACACACTCACACTTAAGGAGAATTTAGAAAAGCCAATTAACCTAACAGTCATGTTTTTGGACTGTGGGAGGAAGCTGGAGTACCCAGAGAGAACCCACACATGCTCAGGGAGAACATGCAAACTCCATGCAGAATGTGAGATCAATAAAGTTCCATTATAGCAGCAGATATGTTCTTTTTTCACTTTCTCTGTAATTCCAGGCATTATAATTTTCCCAATAGCATGAGGGAGCTCGTTTGACGTTGTCCACCTCTAAACTATCTAAAAGCTAAGCTAAATGAAGCCACCAACCTACCTTATATAAACTTTACCAAGATAAAATGTAAAAAGATATTTTATACTAAGATAAACTCATCTTTTATAATTACAGTTCTGAGATTTTGAGCTAATTTAGGAATCAGCTAAAACAACCATGAATAATCAAAATTAACCTCAAATTAAGATTATGTCAAACTATTGTGATAAACAAAATCGTAACATACAATAATGTACTGTAAAAAAAAAAGCTTCAATTTGTGGAGATTAATGAAAATAAAAATTAAAGAGAACTGTTTTCAGCATCTCTCCAAATTAGGGAAATCATTTCATGTGTAAAAGAACCAAATGCATTTCCTTCAGCTTTTGATTATTTGTTGTATAGCAGATGTTATGGTGAGTTTCTCTTTGGGAATCACTTCATCACAGGTAGAATCCTCTTTTTTTCTGCATGTCAAGATCATTTTGAGAAGCAATCAGCACACGTCTGCATATCTGATTGGTCAGAATTCAAATAATCATATAAAACATTTCAGGTATTTCGATAAAACGTACGCAGAGCACATAAAAAAAATAAAAAACAAAGAGAAACTACTGGAAAGTCTGACTGCTTGGAGGTAAACCACTGAAGAAAAAAAAGGAGATTAATGGAGATTTTTAACATGCTGGACTAGTAGGAGGAAATGAGCCGGTCGAGGATAATTAGCCTCATTACAGCAGCAAATGTTTTCTGTGTACGCGTCCCTGAGGACTCGGAGCCATTTTAATTTCATCATCTGCTGAAGTCGGGAAGCAGTATGGTGTCCGCCCTCTATAAGCTTCACCGTGGCTTCAGATGAATTCAGAAATCAGCCTCAGAAGAGAAAACCGAATGAGCTCCACCTGGGTGCTGGTGTGATGTCATAATCTGTGGGCGTGTCTCATTTAAAATGTTTGAATACAGAGACTCGCCTTCTTTTGCATCCTTCAGATCACTTTTGGACTTAAAGCAGAATTGTAGGTAAGCTGATAAAGAAGCTTTGATGGAGAACATACTGGAGCTTATCGCAGGTGTGAAGTGAGAAAAAGATCTGAAGAAACTAGAAAAATAAAATTAGATCTTGAAATAATTTATGCTGAATCTGCAAAAAGAATCCCATCCCAGTCAGAAAGACTCAGTCAGGCAACAGTTAATGAAATGAAAAGTTAAAAACCTCTGCAGCAAAATTGCAGAGGATTCATTGATTATGAAAAAGAAAGATTTTGTTCTTTTCATGGTAGAAGTGATCATTTTTATTGCTCAGACGACAAAGAAAACCAAAAAAATGAAAGCTGCAGAAAAGTATCTTGAAGTTAGAGATTTAAACTGGGAAACGGTTGAAAGCTGATGGGAAAACCAGTAGGACCATAAGAAACTGGCAGAGTGACGATAACAGAAATATAAATGAGTATTATGTTGGGTTAAGTTAAACAGTTCAGAAAAATATTCTGAATTTTTTATTTAATTCTTTTATTTTCTGGGGGTGAGTCCTGTTTCCTTTTTTAACTCCCTATAAGTTGGTGGCGGTAATGCAATTTTAATTAGTTTGCCAAATGCCATAAAACCTTACAAGAAGAAGAAGAAAGCTGCTAAAGAAAAGCTTAAAAAACATGTATTTAACTGGTTTAGTAAACTGGAGCAGAAAACCAAGCACAGAAACCAAACCTGAGGCTGGAGGCAGCGATCCAACATAAATCCTGATAAAGAACAGAGAGCAGAACGTGGGCCGGGTCGAAGCTAAACACATAAAGAAAGAGGAAAAGACAGGCTTACATACACAAACAGAAAGTGATGAGACACAGGGGGAAACAACGAGGACATTCTCAGAAACGGATAAAAACAAGTCATAACATTGGAGATAGATCAGCTCCGCAGGATAAACTGGTTCTACATCACAGAAGCATCCAGTGAAGCCTCAGCAATGAAATTACCCCGACTCAAAGATCCAAACAAAGAGACGATGATCCCTCATTCAACTACGTTCAAACAGAGCCAGAAAGCAGCAGAATGAGTCAGCCTTTATACCTGCTCTGCATCCTGTTCAGCAGAATCTGCAGTGTCTGAATCCAGAGATATGGACAGATGGATAAAAGAGGACGTGTTCAGGATAAGTTAGATAATGTTGGATAACTGTCCCCTAGATGTTTGGAGAGTTTAGATTTTTTTTCCCGGATGTTCATATTTCTGTTATTCTGAGGAGATGGACTCCAGATGTTTAGTACTTGTGTCATGGGAATGTGGACATCAGCTGTCCAGTTGCACGCATGGATCCATGAGCTTCAGATAACCTCCTCTTTCTGTCCCAGGTTGGCTTCAGGAAGGGTGGTGTGGACATCCTGGGTAGGAGGACTCAGTTGGAGGTCCTTCTCTCAGTCATGCTTCTCGCTGCTCTGCTGGCTCTGCTCGCCTGTCTGGTGGTTCTGGGGCTGGGATTCAGCTCAGGTAACCGGATCGCATCTCCATGTTGGTTTTTCCTCCCACCCACTTGTCTTTATTTCCACCTCCTCCTTTCCTTATCCTCTCCTCCTAAAGCTTCCTTGTTTTCCGGTCCCCACCTTTCCTCCCTGACTGATCTCCCCAATTTCCCACATCTGATTCTTTTCCTTTTCCTTGTCCTTCTCTTGCTTTTGTTTCAGTCTTGTCACCTTTCCTTTTTTCTGTTCCTTCTCCTTTCTTTAATCCTTTTATTAAACCCAGTAGGTTTCGATCAATTTTTTTCATCATTAACTTTGGTTCTTTGCATCCTCCGAATCCTCTTCCTGTCGAGCCTCTTGGCTTCTTTCCTGTGGTACCAGTCTGTATCTTGATGTCATCCTCCGATTGTTCTCCATCTCTCCCGTGGGTTTGGTGATGCGTACGGTACGGATAATGCCCTAGCATTTTTTTCCCCTCCGTGTTGTCTTGCAGACAGTGGGCGGGGCCTTTGCCTGTCAGAGGCGTGCGTCACTGTGGCGAGCCAGATTGTTGAGGCGATGGACCGCAGCGCCGACCCCTGCCAGGATTTCTACCAGTTCGCCTGCGGCGGATGGATGAGAAAGAACCCGCTGCCTGACGGACGCTCGCGCTGGTCCACGTTCAACAGCATATGGGAGCAGAACCAGGCGCTGCTCAAACACTTACTGGGTATGCTGACATGTGCATCTCTGCTGGACCGCTCCAGAACCGTGCTCCTCCTGATCATGGATGCGTCTTCTTGTTGTTCTTCCTCACAGAGAATGGGACGTTTAACGGAACCAGCGAAGCAGAGAGGAAGACTCAGTCCTACTACCTGTCCTGCCTCAACACGCAGAGGATCGAAGAGCTCGGATCTCAGCCTCTCATGGACCTAATAACCAAGGTAAACTGGCAGCACAAGCTGTCGTCATAGCAACTGCCTCAATAAAACCACCAACATCCACAGGATGGTTTCCAGCCTTTACATGATGAACCGAAGACCCGTCAGTTATCTTGCTGCTGCAGCTACTAGAAGAGCCCAAATCATCATTCCTCCTCCGCAGTGCTTTACACCATGGATGATCTGTTTATGATGATATGTCTGAATTCTTCCAAACAAACTTGTGTAGGCTTTCAATCGCTCACACCGGATCAGGGTCACGACCTTTGACCCGTAGAGACTTTAGTGTAGCATCCCTTCTCAGACTGATGGCTGTTCTGATGTCTTCAGTTAAGTCTGGCTTAAACATGCATATAAATGTAATCTTTATCAGACCATATTGTCCCAAAAGTTAGAAAATTTCTATTTAAAAAATGATCCTGTTTTAAAATCTATGTTTTTTTTAATCTTATGCAGGCCAGTTAGTTATATGTCAGCCTGTACACCTAAATTCAGCCAATCATATATCAATGTTCATCTGTCAATCAAATTTTTTTGGTCGGAGCATCTTTTCATATGTCGCAGTGAATATACGCAACGGTTCAAATAAGAATCATTTCCTTTCCCATTGAGTTCCGTCCCAGTGTTCACAGGGATGGACGTCTGTGTCTTCAGCAGGCGTAGAGCTAACAGAACTGGCAGCGTTGCGAGGCAAGGGCTCAAACATGTACGGCTGGAAGCCTTCTACACCAAACCAAGCTTCTGCCGCCCTGGAATCCTCTTCCACAACATCTTCATCCTTTCTTTCCTCCTCTAAATAAAAAATGTATGACGGAGGAGACTCATACACGACCTCCGACACTAAACTCTCCTCCTCTTGCATGTTTCCTCTGTCCATAGCGTTCCTTGACAGTGTCGTTTCTAAGTCACCAATTTATTGATACTTGGTCCCAATGGAATTTCCCATTGGGAACCTACTAGCACTAAGTTGCTAACTGGTTAGCAAGATGCTTCTGACAAACCGGCCACAACCAAACTGGCTTGCGAACCTTCCGCCACAACAATCCCGCCCCCTTGATAAACGACCAATCACATTCACTTTATTCACTCGTGTAAAGTCGGGAGAATTTGGAAATAAAATGGTTAGAACAGCCGTTTCCCCACAACTTTAATCAACGCATCTGATGAGAAGTAATGGCTCAATTTAACTCCTACAGCTGTAGGGATGAGGGATTACTGCTGAACCTAATCTGCTTTTAGTCAAATTTATTTTGAAGCTGTAATCTGTGCTCAGATCGGCGGCTGGAACATGACCGGTCCGTGGGAAAAAGACAACTTCATGGAGGTTCTGAAGATGGTCTCTGGTCCGTACAGAGCTCAGCCGTTTTTCAGCGTGGGAGTCAGCACCGATCCCAAAAACTCCAACAGCAACGTTATCCAGGTATTCCAGAAAAGTCTACGTTCTGTTTTCGTCTTCCTCTTTGTTTCCATCCAACTGTTGGTGTGTTAGTGGCTTCAGGTAGCTGCTGTGTTTGTGTGAAACATCTGGTCCCCACTTCAGCTGAAGATCGGATCCTTGAACCTCGAGTTTTCACCTGTTAATCTCCTCCTCAGGTGGACCAATCAGGGCTCTTCCTACCGTCCAGGGACTATTACCTCAACAAGACGGCCAATGAGAAGGTGCTGGCAGCATACCTGGATTACATGGTGGAGCTGGGCACGCTGCTGGGGGGCGAGAAGAGCTCCACCCAGCTTCAAATGCAGCAGATTCTGGAGTTTGAGACGGCGCTTGCTAACATCACCGTCCCCCAGGACCAGCGGCGAGACGAAGAGAAGATCTACCACAAGGTCACCATCGCAGAGCTGCAGGTGAGAACAGGCTCCCTCTGGATGGATAGATCCCAGATTCTCTGTCGGGCTTCAAACCAGCAGACCACCTGTTGGACTAAAGCTAGCTGCAGTTTGAGAACAGAAGCTTCTTCTGTTGGAATTTAAGGCTGATTTATAATCAGAAACCAGGTCGTCTGCATGTCGCAAATGTACCTCCACCCCTGTCGCAGACACTCTTGTGCACCTCTCCAAAATTATAGGTGACCACAGACAGGAGGCCTCTGATTGGTCAATTCTAGATCCGCTCTACACTATGTGTATTTCCTGTTTAATACGGTACCGGCTTGTTTTGTTTGTATGACCGCCATTGTGGAAAACGACTCGTGAAGATGGACCACCTAGAAGAGCGAGGTGCGCAACATCGCTGGGACCCTTTTTTTTAACCTTTTTTTTTTGCCTGGAATCCCGCTCTTTTTCGCCCTCATGTCCCTCTGTTGTCGCACAAACTTTCCCCCACTTCCTCACTGCCTCAGCCATATCTAGACCCACAGCTAGTTCCTGATTGTCCCTCTTGAGTCGTGGCGTGGAATAACAGCTCAGACCACGCTTCAATATTGGGCATAAATCAAAAAATATCTGTGACAAGTTCGCTGCGACACACTGCTGCGAGAAGATAATCAGGCCTTTAGAGGGAACTCATGGAAGGACACATGATACTTGGATTAGAAACTCTCTTTCCTCTTCATTTAGATTATCCTAAAATCCCAAAACCTAGGCTACGTTCACACTGCAGGCCTTGATGCTCAATTCCGATTTATTTGTGAAATCCGATTTATTTTTTTTTTTTTTGCGTTGCTGTTCATATTTCCAAATATGTGCGACCTGTATGTGATCTCCTGTGTGAACTGCAGTCATACAACGTAAGTGTCCCACATGCCCAGTAGAGGACACGATGACATCACAGGCCAACATGCTCCATGTTTACGGAAGTAAACATGGATGGTAGTACCGGCGCGCATCTAGCGGTCTTTTCCAACCATAAAAACTCAATCTTTTCAATATGGTTAAACATAAATACTGCTCCTCACATCATCATCTGCCATGGTGGTTGTTTTTCTTGCAGCTTCTGCGTAGCAAGACGCAGAATAGTGACCTTTGTTGGGTATTAATGGCGTTCAGTTCGGATGAATTCGACCTGGCCGTTCACACACAGGTCGCATTTGAAAAGATCAGATTCGTATCGGATTCAGGACCACAAAGCCAAGTGGCCTGTGTCGGATTGGAAAAAAACGGATCTGTGTTGTTCAGACAGCCATGAAAAGATCAGATCCAGGTTGCATATGGGCAAAAAAATCAGATTTGGGTCCCTTCAGGCTGCAGTGTGAATGTAGCCTTAGTCTCTCAGAGATGTTGAACCATGAGAGGGCTTCTGATGCGGACTAGTACGCAATCCTGGTCCGGGTTCCAAGTGACATGGCGTGGCGACAATCATCTTTGAATGTGTTGAATGTGTGAGTGTAGTCTACTTCCGGAACATATCTGGTCTTGTGAGATCAACAGCTGAGGTCCTGAATAAGCTGCTGCTTTTCCCACCAAACTTTTTCCTTCCACCCAACTTTCCATGTCTCTACATCCACTCTTTAAACAGCCTGCCCGTTTAACCATGCCCTCACTGACGTACACTGTCAGACCAAGTTGGCAGTCTTCTTTATGGCTTTGTGGGACAAAATCGCACAAATATCAATGAAATATTTCAAACTTGCGTAATCCACATTTTCTTTTAAAACATTTTTGTTTACAGCCATTTTCAAGCCTAAATTCATATTTTTTGAAGACATAATAAAATGCCATTTTTATTGCAAACTCACTGGAACAGAATCTTTCATGGTCCCACCAGTCAACCCGAGTCCTGAATAGACCCTCATCACCATGAACAACACAGACTAACCCCTGAATCATCAGTTAAAGTGATGAGTCAGAATCTGCTGCTCATTTTAGGTAAAGGTCATGTTTTTCTAGAGCGGGAAGGCCAGCAGCTTAACGTCGTTGTCGTCTCTCAGCGGGGTTTTAATCTCTAATCTGATCTGACGGAAACATTTCAGGCACTAAAACTCTCTGAGGCTAACATGAGTTTCCTTTGTCCTTCGTCCTCGCACCACGCCTGTGTGTTGCTCACTGCGTACATACTCTTTGTCCTATGGGGCTGCGGATGCTTCAGGGTTCACCATGGTGACTGTTGCCATGAGCCCGTTGCTAAGTTACTGTATCTCTTAGGATGGGGTTCTGTTAGATAACAGGTTGTTACATAAACTCAAAGCTAGAGACTCTGATTTGGTCAGTGTTGCTGTTTTTTTTTTTTTTTTTTCCTTGTCTGGAAAAGCTTCACCTGCAGAGAAGCACATCATCATCAGTGTAACTACCTGGATGCCATGAAGAAATGCCACAGTTTCATCACCTTTTATTCATCTATTTGTTGTTCACAAACAGCGCTCTGAAAAGGCTGTCATCAATTATCTTTGTTTTTTTCTCAAACAAAAAATGCAATGTGACCTTCAGTGCCCCCTGCTGTCAGAGAACTGCATTAATATTTCTAAATTCACATCTTTTGAGTGAAAATCTTCTAAAGAAGCTCATTGTTGAATTCCAGAATAATTTTCTCCCCTCTCTGGAGTGTAAGATTAGTGTCCAAACACTGACCAATCTGGAGGCAAGAATCCTGTTTGGAAGGAGTAAAGATGGAGAACAATGAAGCCGAATGTTTTGAACTGTTTTCTGGTTATTAATTCAATACAGTTTATTTCTATAGCGCCAATTCAAAACACGTCATCCCAGTTCACCAGATCATCCAGTCAAATTGATTCAAAGTTTTCTAAGAAAAACCAGTTGATTACATCGACTCA